GTTTTTACGTATATTTACCACAGCCTGTATATAAACGCGCTTGCGTAAAGAGAGAGAGCCAGCGTTAATTTGAATAGAATTGAGAAACATTAGCGCTGCCAGATGTTTTAGTTAAATTAAATAATTAAATCAGGGCATTTAGTAGAAGTTATTTTAAGAAATATATATACTAATATATGTATGTATTTTTTATCCAATAAGATATTTATTTGAGGTTGTGCGCAGTGACTACGAATGGACTTAAAAGCCAAATTAAAAATAATGTATGAAGGATGCTAGGAGTTTAAATATGTGTACACCATTTCTGGCATAGAAATATTCTTTTACCCAGTACATTATATTTTTCGTTATGTATTTTAACCTTAAATTTTGTTAGACCACTTTGCATATGCTTTGCCGCTACGATTTTCGGTGTATGGTATAACTCAAGTTCTTTAGAGCAAACTTATTCATACAGCGAAAAATTCTCATGAGAGCGTAAAGTTGAGAGCGACTGGCAAAACAAATTCATTGGCAAAACAAACCACTAACTTTTTTGTGTACATAAATAAACAAAAACAACATTATATGAAAGCCGCACACTATTACTTGGTAGTTCAAGTTCAACAAGGTAGCGAGTACAACAACAAATTTTTGAAACAACANCCAGATGTTTTAGTTAAATTAAATAATTAAATCAGGGCATTTAGTAGAAGTTACTTTAAGAAATATATATACTAATATATGTATGTATTTTTTATAAAATAAGATATTTATGTGTGGATGAGCGTAGTGACTATGAATGGACTTAAAAGCCAATTAAAAATAATGTATGAAGGATGCTAGGAGTTCAAATATGTATGCACCATTTCTGGCTTAGAAATATTCTTTTACCCAGTACTTGATATTTTTCGTTTTGTATTTTAACCTTAAATTTTGTTAGACCATTTTGTGTATGGTCTGCCGGTACGATTTTCGGTGAATGGTCTAACTCAAGTTCTTTAGAGCAATCTTATTCATACAGCAAAAAATTCTCATGAGAGCGTAAAGTTGAGAGCGACTGCGAAGACAAATTCATTGGCAAAACAAACCACCAACTTTTTTGTGTACATAAAGAAACAAAAACAACATTGAATGAAAGCCGCACACTATTACTTGGTAGTTCAAGTTCAACAAGGTAGCGAGTACAACAACAAATTTTTGAAACAACAAAAAAAAAACTAAACACGTGATAGCGTCAATGGCGCCAAAACCTGCCTCAATATGCTGTTAATATCAAGCGAAATTTACAGTGCTGCCAACAGCGTCTGTTAAATAACAGAGCATGTTAATATTGTTATTGCATTTCAATGTTAAAATACTAATATAACCTGTTATGCACGAAGTTTAACAGCGCTTTGCTATTTGCATTACTGTTAAAACATTCCACTGCTTTGTATCAACAGCTGTTACAATGTTATGCACTGCACTTGTTAAGCATTTATTCGGCAGTTTTAACAACAGAATGTTTTATCCTTGCAAAGCGAGTGGACGTACATAACGCATTGCGAAGTAAATCGTGCGCGCATCGATGTATAGTTGTGAGAGAACTTGTGTGTATTTTTATTTATGCAAATGTGCAAGTGTGTGTTGTATTCGTTTGGAAAATTGTGCGCGCGTTACTTGCCAATATCAATGGTGAATTTCGAAAGCGAAAATATTGAAAACAAAAATAAGATGAAATGAAATTTTTTGTTTTGCTATTTTTAAAAATTGCAGTGAGTGCAGAAAATAAAATTGCTGATTTTATGTACATATATGTATATATGCCAAGTGCAGAAAAGCAGAAGGTAAACCAAAAGTACAGAATATGCGGCAAATTATAAAAAAAAAATGTTTTTGGCAGTAAATATAAACTGAAAATAAATAAACAAACTTCGGAAAAATTATGAGTGCGTTGAAAAATAAAAAATTAAATAAATAATTTTTTTTTTTTGAAAACAGGCATGATTATTGGCATCTGCAAAATTTATAAATATACCGGAAAAGTCAATGCCAAATAAACAAAACAGTGTTAGAGTAAGAATATGAAATGTGGCAAATATTATGATTTTAAGGCAGTTTGAGTGCGTAAGTGTTTTTAAATAAAATAGTAATAAAGTGAAAAATTGTTGTAATAAGTTATCAATAAAGCGAAGAAACCGAAAGAAATATGAACACAAAAAACTTTTACACAACAAATTTTAAACTAATTAAAAATAAAATAATAAAAATGGTAAATTTATTGGCTATTTGAGCGGGGAAATGTGATAAAAAATCCTGAAACAATTTAAAGTTGTGTTTAAAAAATTAAATTTAAAAATTATGTAAAAAAATTTGAGAATGTAAGATCGGAAATTAAATGAAAAATTAAACAAATTTAGCAAAATATTACAAAAAAAAATGAAAATTATGGAAATTATTTCATATATTGTATATACTCGTGCAAACACTGGAATGTGACGATGAAGGAGATGAAAAATGCTTTTAAAAATTATTTGCATTAATATCTTGCCACTCAACGACTATGATTATGCATAAACCAAAATATATGAGTTCGGGCAAGAAACTTGCTGTAATTGCTTATAAATGTTAAATAAAAATTTTTTAATTAAATTTAGTTATTAATAAAATTTAAAGTACTATATAAATAACCAAATTATATCTAAATTGCGTTCAGCTCCTAAAAAAATAGAAAACTAATATATAAATAAATAGAATTTATAAAAACGAAATAAAAAGATTAAATTAATAAATAAATTTAAAAATAAATTATTATTTGAATGAATAAATAAATAAAAAAATTTATTTAAATAAAANATATTAAAAATAATAACATGAAATTATGGTGAAATATATTAAATTTGAATTTAGAAGAATCATGCGGAAGAAAATTAAAAAAGCAAAAAAAAGTTAATGAAGAAGATGATAAATAAACGACTTTGATAATAGAATATAATATAATAAACATATATGTAATAATGTAATAAAAAAATTGTGTAATTAAAATATAAAAATATATAAATGCGATAAATTCAATAAATAACTGTAAGATAAATAATTAAAATGAAAAAACTTAATTGAAATTTATTTAAATAAAGTACAAAAAAAAATTCTGACACAGTTTACAACAACAAATAAATTAGTTCATAAACAGAAAATTTACTTTAATGAAAAAAATAGAAGCAAAAAAATAAGACTTTAACTTAGCTTAAAAAATGGACGAAAAAAATATTCAAATTAAGTAGAAAAATAAAAAAAATATATTAAATTGCACGAAGCAGAAAATTGAATATAAAAAAAAATTAATTGTTTTTCGTTTTCCATCCATTGCAAGCTAAAGTTACCCCATTTGGTCTCTTATAAAATTAAAATAATTTAAACTAAATAAAAAAGAAAGACATTTTTTTAAAAAAATAATTATACATTTTGAAAGAGAAACCGGTTCTAAATATATACTTTTAAATATATTGGTAAAAATTCATAATCGGTATTTAAAATTTTTTATTGAATTTAAAATTAAAGAAAAAGTTTTGAAATAAAAAATATTATATTTTTAATAATTGTTATAACATTAAAAAATTGTAGAATTGTTTGATAAATTTTAAGCAATTTGTTTTTATCAACAAATTTATGTTTTTGAACTTTAAACCTGAAATGATTGTATACTTCTACATACGTATACTTACATATGTTTCAAAAAAGTTATTATTAATTTTAATTAATTTGTATTTTTAATATCTTTTTTTTAAAGGAAAAGTGTAATTTTCTTTCACCAGAATGAATACAAATAAACTGCTATGAAAAGATAAGAAAATCATTTTTACCCCAAGTAGCGTCAACTCTCCTAAAAAGAACATGCAAACGAGTTCCTTTTTGAGTTATAAACAAAAACAAATTAATAATAACAGTTAAGAAATCAAATGAAAAAGTGTCCTAAGTCAATTCCATGAAACTTCCAACGAAACTCAAAACCACCAGCAGCAAAGGTCAAAGAAAGCGTTTAAGCCTTTGAAAGTGAACAGTGCAAGTGAAGTGAAAAGTGGAAAAGAGGAAAGAGCAAAGCAGAAAAAGTACAGCAATTAGTGAAAATCATAAGGTGAAAAAAATTTACAAAAAAAAAAAAACCGTTATTAATTTGTTTTGCGTAATTTAAAAAGAGGAGAAACCGTAATGAAATACCCACGTACCTACCGAAGAGGCATGCTTTTAGGCGCGCATCACTATAAATACTTAATAGCATCTGTTCTTTTCAAATGGCAATGATTTCGAATTACTAAAAGTAAAAAAATTATTATAAAAATAAAATGTTTATATATATATATATAGCTGCAAATGTATATATGTTATAATAAATAAAAGTATAAATATGTATTATGTTATTGCACTGTCGCAGCATATAAGCTTAAAAGTGTAAGTTAAAACTTTTAGTAAACATTAAAGTTTGCTAACCATTTAAACAGTTAACCGTCTGTGTGTGTGCGCTGTGCGAGTTGTGGGTTAATAGCAAATGTTTGCGCAGCTATAATGGCGATGCAGACTCGAGGCAGCTATTANTCTGTGTGTGTGCGCTGTGCGAGTTGTGGGTTAATAGCAAATGTTTGCGCAGCTATAATGGCGATGCAGACTCGAGGAAACTATTACGAAGTGAAAAGTGAAGGAAAATATAAAAAGAAGTGAAGAGAAAATATAAAAGTTAAGTCAAGTGTTATTTGATGGCAGTGGAAATGAAGAACAGGCAATGTAAGTTGTATAGAATTTATAGAAATAATATTTAAAATTATTTAAAAAAAAATTATCAGTAGAAATTGTGAAATAAAATAAATTAAAATATAAAAGATAAAATATAAAAATTACGGTATAAAAATAAATAAAATTTATTAAATATATTAAAGTAAAAAAAGGAAATAAATTAAATAATTAAATTAAGCAACTTGAAAATGAAAATAGCAAAATTAAATATTACTAAGTAACACCATATGCTAGTTATTAAATGAATATTGAAATTGATTATTTGTTGAAAATCTATTTAATATATATTTGTGTTGCTCCATATAAGCCAACAAATCCAAATAAGCTCTCCATAATCTACGGCAAACAGCAAAGACGTAAAAAAAAAAAACAACAATGCAAATACAGTAATAAAAGTAATCCAAATAAAATTGTTTTACAAGTGAAAAAAGCAATGTGTGTTAAGTCAACTGAGCCTATGTTTTAGCAGCTTGTAAACATGCTCATGGCATCTGGCAACAGCTGGTGAAGATAATTCATGCACGGAAATAACAATAAATAAATATACAAACTGTAAGATTCCAATATTACTCACTTTGAGGATTTGCAAATTCGCTATTTAAATGTTAAAAAGTAAGTGATTTATGCTTTTTTTATAATTCATAAAAAATTGTAATGAATAATTCAAAAAATACAATTTAATTACATTTAATTAATTAAATTTTTTATTTAAACATTTTCTTGTAAATTAAAATAAAATCATTAGAAAATGGATTTTTTTTATATTTGGAAAATGAGTCGAAAAGTTTTGCATTTTTTGTATGCGAAATTTTAGATCAAATTACGGCAATATTGTGATCATCAAAACTGACTTTTGCTGCTTATTTTTATAGTTGATGAGGAAGAAAAAATTAAATTAAAATAATAGCTTGAAATTTAATTACGTTTAAATTAATTAAATTAGCTTATTTCATAAAATAAAAATAAATTATATAAATTAAATAAATATGCAATAAATATTAAAATCTTTTATACTGATTTATCCCCACAAATAATTATTACATAATTTTAATTCAAAGCTAAAATAGCTTGAAATTCTTTTACCGGTTTATAAAAATAACATTAAAACTTTTTTGACAACAAAAATATGCATAAAAATATTTAAAGAGACTTAGTAGAATTGAAAAATATTAACTACACAAATTTTAAAAAATATTAATTAATTAATTAAAATAATATATTTTTTATTTCATTGATTTCATACTCTTTTAGTGCGTTCTGAAATAATTTAATGATCTCATTTCTTAAAAATGACATACAATTTTGGTTTAAATAAATTTAAGAGCGAAACTAATATTGAATTGAGAGCAAAGCACTTAACATGAAATTTTTACACTAAAAATTTTCAAATAAATAATTTAATAAAGTCGTGTATTGGTTTTCATTTTCAAACAAAACTTGAACTGCTTTTATTATATGCAAAAACTTTAATAAATGCAAAAAAAAAGAAATATTCAAAAAATACTTAGAAATCACAGTAAATCAGTAGAGCAAATATTTGATGAAATAATATAATATAAGAATATGTGGAATAATAAAAGCAAAAGAGATGATCTTCAGTTGGTTTCAACAGTTTTAACATAAAAATTCAAAGGAATATTAGCTGAGCACTATGTGATTGATTTAAGGTAAACAACTAGTGTTTAATTTCAAAAAAAAAAAAAAATAATAATAAATATAATAAAAATCTTATTTCGGTAGACTACACCTTTAAAAATAACATCTTAAAATTTCAGATCGATATCTCAAATAGTGTTTGAGTTATAGAAATTTAAAGAGCAGCCGCTCGGCAGCTAGAGAGTCTCATTAGCAACGAGTGAAAACGATCATTTTATCTTTAAACGCGTTTTTCTCGAAACAGCATTTTCCAAATTTGCTGCAGTGATTACTCAAACAACAAATGATCCGATTACTATCGATTTTTTTACATGTTCTATATATAGTTCTCCGTACAATGACCTATCGATTGTTGAACTGATCAAAAAATCGAGTTTTGGCAGATCAAAAACGACCGAAAAAATCGACTATTTTTTTTTTAATGCTGCCATATTGTCAATTTCGGATTTTTTTTATCGTAAGTCATTGTGCAGACAATTTTATCCAGTAGAAATATTTTTTTTTAGATTTCAGCCACGGTGAAGGTCGGCATCACTGCAGCAGTGTAGGACCTTTTTTTCCACGCCATTGGAAAGCGACTATAACTTAAATAAATATTTAATTTTTTTCTTCAAAAATTTCACTGTATATTCTTGAAACATGTATAAATATACTCCTAAAATTTTGAAATAATTGATAAAAAAATTTTTTATAATAAAAAATCACCTTTTCTTTAGGCCATTACGCTAGGTGTGCCCCTTAAAGCCTTTGGCAGCACTTTAATTGAATTTTTTTTAAAATAATTCCAATGTATGCGTGCTTGATGAAATTTCGCTGGAGAAAAATATGAAAAAAATTTAAAGAAATAAATAAAAATTTTTTATAAGTAATAAATTAAAACAATAAAGAATTATAGATCTGCTCAGTGACTGTCGAACAGATTTGTTTAAAAAAAAAACGACTTAAAGATATTCAGAACTAAGAAATCAGGTTTTAAATTCGCAAATTCGTAAGATTTAATACCCGAAAATCCTTCAGCCAGATTTTAATTGGAAAAAAATCGATTTTGGTCTTTCAAAAGTTGCTTGGAAGAAGCACAAAGTAAGAAAATCTCAGATTTCTTTTGGTCCAGAATGAGCATACAGAATTTTTCCCCATATATTTTGAAAATTTCATCCAAATTGCAAATTTTCAGGTCATCCCATGCACAAGAGTAAGAATTTCTTCTAGTTTTTGTACTCCAAAGCAAAGAACATTAGAGCTAAATTGTTGGAGCAGGTTGTACGTCCATGTAAATACAGATATGTAGTGGAGCGCTTGTAGGTGCTGAATAAAAGCAAGTTTCCATCGCCTGATTTCCAAAAATGTTGGCGAGTTAGAATGATTGGGAAGTGAGGACACTCTGTCGCTTCTTTTCAAAGAGTAGCCCAGCACTTCTAATCGATCGGAATCACGAGTATGTCAAAGCTATTTTGCCATAAAAGAGACAAAGCAGAGCTGATAAGTGGAAGAGAATTGAAAGTTTACATCCTAAGCATCCTAAAGAACTTTTGGATTTGAACCGTTGAGTTTTCTGAGTACTTAGTAAATGCTGGATTGGAATTACCTCAATAACTGCTACCACGAAATAACAGGTGACTTTCATGAAGTAAGACACATAACAGCTGAATGTGTTGACAACAAAACGGACTTGACAAACTAAAACAATCCAGCGATGAGTGTTATACTCTGTCTCTCCCTTTATTATAGAGGAAAGTCGAGGTATTTTACAAATCAGTTCATACTACTCTCCAAAGGACTTTAGCACTAAAGAGTTGGAATGATTAATTCACATAGACATGAAAAGTATACAAGCCCTGACAGTATCTCTGGCAGCATCTCGATATGCGTAGGCTAAGGAAAAATCCACGGAAAAAGTCCGAAACTTAGTGTTGGTAGAAATCAATTGAAATGTCCTTAGAGGTATAATTTTTCGCTCTCATAGCTTTCTTTGACAAAAAGAATGCTTCAGAAACTCTTGGGAAATGCTTTGAACAGTAAATTCTGAATAGCTTCAGTTCAATACTGGTAGATTCAATGTTATTCAGAACAATCCAAAAAGGTACACTTCACGGAGGCGAGCTATCCCCCTTTTCTCGGCGCTTTAACAGTGAATAAAATCTCATTAGATCTAGAGAGAAGCAGACTTAAGCTCTACTATTATTCACTTAGAACCACTGAATAGCAGATTTCTTCTCATANGGCGCTTTAACAGTGAATAAAATCTCATTAGATCTAGAGAGAAGCTGACTTAAGCTCTCTTATTATTCACTTAGAACCACTGAATAGCAGATTTCAACCCAGAAACTTCAAATGGTACTATTATATATCATAAGTAGGACAGAAAATGATTAAAAAACTGATGGGATGGGAAATGATTGGGATTAATACTAACAAGAAAGCCCTATTGGAAACCGAGCTAAAAAATAGTGCAAAGAAGGCTGCTAGAGCACTTTGTAGGTATCAAAGTATGGTTAGGCCGAAATTACGCTTAACGAAAGAGGCAACTTAGTGGCTCTAAGGAACAGCTGTAAAGCCGCTTATGACGTAAAGTATATTGATTTGGCAAGCGATATTGGAAAGGAAGTACGCAGTAAGTTTAAGAGGTGCTATTAAGCTCCTGTAACACCGTCAGTTTACGTACTAGATGCTATACTATATTTATTATTCATAGTCTTATAATACATGCTGACACTGCTGATCAAATCGGCATTAGAAGGATTATTCCATTTTAGTAACCTGGAATGCCACGGATTATCACTAGCCTTTGAACCTTTGGAAATGAATTTGAATTGGATTTCCTTCCAAAAAACAGTGAGCTGGGGGTGAGGTGAGTAAAGATCCAGAAATTAATATCTAAAATGACGGATTCAAATAACTTAAATCAGGAGGGATGGTTTTGTGCTGGTAAAATTAGACACCACAACCGCCCTCCGATTAACAGATCACTGCAGTTTCTTAAGCGGGCATTGTTGCAGATAAGAGAGAGCCTTCTGCTACGCACCAAAAAGGCCGCTTAGAACAAGAAATATATATTTATATATATATATATATTTAACGGCTCTAAAATCACTAAAGCCTCTTGAGATCGCAAAAAAAAGATAGTGAATGTAGTCTGCTTCACAAAAAGCCTGCAATGAGTTCCAGTAGACAAATTCATTCTGGGTAAGTGTTCACCAGTTGAACTAGGAAGGCTTGACATCACCTTAAAATTAGATACAGATAAAGTAGGAACATATATTATATATGACTCTGGCTGGAACTGCATTGGCAGTGTTAACAGGTTCTGTCTTATTCATCAACTTGTACGGGGTTGCAAGGTTCGAAATTGTCGACCTCAGGTTTCTTAAAGATAACGAGGGGAAGTAGCACATTTTAAACTTTTTGCAATACTAACTTTATCAAGACACGCCTGTAAGTCTGATTGGGATTGGTAGTGTAAGGTGAACTTCAGTGCTGATGTAATTATAGTGGAACCACAAGGGTGTATAGTTGTTTGTTTTTATCAATATAAGTAAAAGCATTAAAGTAATGAATTAAAATAGCGGAATGAAGAATTTCCCTAATAAACTCACATGTAAAGCACCTCAATATTGCATGATCAAAACAACAAATCAATTAGGAAAGTGATTTTGGAGTTAATGTTTGCCAGATGTTGCGTGTTTTTAGGCGTTTAAGTATTTTTGTTTACTAATTCCACAGGCAGAGCATTAGTGTCTATATAAAGAAAAAGCAATCCAGGGCATCAAACAATGGGAAAAGAAAAAAATAATGAGGAAATAAATTTGTAACCAAAAACAAAAAAAAATTAAATAATAGAAAAAAAATAATAATAAAATAAAATCAGCATAAAATGGTGCTTACGATATGTAAAGAGAAATAAAATAAATAAATTTATTTTCACTCTTTCTACATATTTGTATTTCAAATTTGAAACC